AGAGAGAGAGAGAGAGAGAGTTTGTGTGTGTGTGTGTGTGCGCGCGCGCGTGTGTGTATGTATGTAATATGTTTATTTGTTCAAAGAAGCCTTGGGTTTACTCGTCTCGTTGGGAGTAGGTTAATTTTAATTACTAAGACACGGTATGTATAACCAGCTGTATGTTTCGACGTACGTTTCAACGCAGAAAAAAACCCCATTAATTCATAATGCGTGCCCTCTTATATATATATAGATGTATTACTATTATTATTCTAAGTGTCCATCTGCGATAGAATAGAGCCGAGAGGATGTTCAGTCGGGAAAAACTTCTCAAATAATCAAAGTTCACAGAGGTCTCCATTCGGGATTTGATTTTATATTATATAAATTAATACAAAGTCGCCTACACTGCAGTCCGGCCTTAATGTGTGTATGTTTTAACGAAAGTGTTTGTACGTCCCCATCAACATATTTTAGATCAGGGCGATGTTTAAAAAGATCGTATTATAATGATAATACGAGAATAGCCCGTTAAATCATTATCATTTCAGCCACATCATAACACACGAGCTGCCGTCGCTGCTAGTGATCAAGCTGGATTCAATCGAATCTCGCGACATGAGCGCGGCCATGTTGGGCCTCTACAACAGCACCTGCTTCCTGGAGTGGGATTCAAACGAGATAGACCACACATTCTGGCGACGGCTGCGGGGCTCACTCCAACTGTTGATACAACAACGGGCAGCTCAGGATGCCCAGGGCCAGCTCGTGCACTGACAGAATCTTCTTCTTCTTCTTTTAAACTTTAATTAGACATCCCAGTCTCTATAGTGGGCTATTCCATGGTAACTGGCGGGGAAAATGATAATGAGGTATTTTTTCTGACCCCGTCTCGAAACTAAACACGTCACAGAATTTGCATAAAGTATATATGCATATATACTTCTTTTTTTTTTTCAAATGAGCGCATTTAATATAATTCTTAGCATGTCTTTCAAACGTTCTGATCATTTAAAGTTGAAATAGTGTTATCACTGTAAGAAAGTATTGTCGAAATGTCCAGTCAGTTATCGTGGATAGCCCGCGTGCAAAGGCTGCTTGCTGTTCACCACAGGTCTTCCAGGCCGTCATAGACTCATAGAGTTTAGGGTCTCTCTGCCTCTTTGGTTGAGCCAATATTTATTCTTTCTAAGTGCTGCTGACGGAATGAATAGTGTACACTGGGAATCTCTGTGTACCTGCCTGTCTTTTGTTCCACACCAGATCTTTACAATTAAAAAAAAAGTAAATTTTATTGCTGATTTGGTTTTCGCAAAGAGAAGCAAGTAGGAACTATAATGGCCGTTTCGTGCCTCGGAAAAAAAGTTTAACAAACGGAAACAGGGAAAAATAAAAAAGTGGGGATTCTAGAGGCGCTCTCCAGCTACTCACTTGTTCTTATACTCCATCTTTGGATTCACACAAACTCTAAAACCACCCGATACCCTCCAGATTTTTAAAGAATCTGCTTGTAATACCCCTTTCGGAGTTCATGCCAAATCAATTTGGCACACTGTGATTTCTGTGGTGTATTTGGTTGTTTTTGGTTGTGGCAGGGGGTTAGGCCTAGCCTATTGTATTGTTTGGCTGAAAGTGTGAGAGTGAGTAAAGTGTGAGTCTGTGTTCAGTTGTATTGTTTGCAAGTTGATAAAAGTCTGAATTACTACTGGTGGGACTTTGAGAGGAGAGAGTTGTATCAAGGCAGAGGAGGCCTGCTGACAGTATAGGTTGTGAAGAAGGCTAGCTAAAGCCTCGGTTCAGTTGTGCGTGAAGTGTGAGATTCCAATCCAACGCATCGGGGCCCCAAAGCTGCGGAAGGAATCACAACACAGAGCAGAGGAACAGGTTTGGCTAATTCCTGTTATAGTGGCATGTGACAGAAGGTTAGTAATTGTGTAAAATCTTTGTTTTATGTTCCAAGTAACAACAATTTGACTGATGACCAAGGAACTACATTATAATAAAGTATGTGTACTTTTGCTATCATTGACCATGATTGCCTGTCAGGCAGATATCTGTGCACAATATGGGGAGAAAAAGATTCTGAACAAAGCCAATGATCTCCCTAAATAATTGGGGGTGTTCAGCGTTAGTTCAGTTTTGTACATCACGCAATGACTGTTTTTGGTTTAGTTTGATACCCCCCAACCACATAATTCAGGACCCAAGCCACCTAGACCCTCCTTGTTGGAACAAGCCCAAGCCAAATCGGCTACACAACATCCCAGCAGACAAATGGAAATACTAAAACAGATGAATTGTCCGCTTGGGCATCAAAGTCACATCGTTTACATGATTACTTGCAACAGTGAAGAGCCTAACCATTACACCAATTATTACACCACAGAAATTGGTGTTAACACATGCAGTACACAGGTGGTGGTAATAACATTATTTGTGTGACTCCTCTAGCTCTTAATGAGCTTTTTTCTTTTCTTTCAATAAAGGATTTTGGATATGATAAAACGGTCGAACCTGTGTAAGACGTCAAGCATTGTCGAGGAGAAAAGTGGCTGTAAATTATGATAGGTGGTCGTCATAATGCAAGACTGATCAAAATGAAGAAAACAATTTACTTTTGAGGTCCCAACCGGAGGTGGTCGCAGGCTTAGGACTGCCGTAGGGGTTTTTTTTGGGTTTTTTTTTTAAGGGAGGAGAGGACGGGATTTTTGTGGGAACTTCTGTAGTTAGTTTTTAAATTTAAAAAAAAAAATTATGGTTACATGAAAGGCCAAAACAAAACGAAATACGTCAGACGAGGAAGGCGAAATGCCATACTAAAACAAATGGATCGCCACCGATTGGCGAACGAGGGACACTTCTGTCCCGAGTTTGTGTTGACTTCCATTGTTATGGACTGGGTTTACGAACTGAGTTGTAGGCGGGCCTTATAGGTTATGACGGATCACACACTTCCCTTAGAAGCAGCTGAAAATTTATTGTTACCCATTGGTCAACTTAGGTAAACATTGGGAGCGACCTGAGCAACATGACTGTTTCATCCATCGGAAGGACTGACAATAACGACAGGTGACTGAATTATTACGGCTTGTCCACAGCGTCAGGGTAAAATGCCATAATTTTTTTTACAAAGTCTGGCCGTATTAGGCAGGTAGATTTGGCCGTGGGTTGATAAAAAAGGGTGGCCGCAGCCACGTTGGACGACAGGTACCCTTTTTACACAGTTAAATTATAAAGAAACAGACGCAATGGGGGAAATGGAAAGTGGCCGTTAGAAGTTAGAACAGGTGGCCGTATTATACAGGAGGCTGCCATGGCAGGCTCGACTGTGTATCATATGTTTTACAGTTTAAGCCTTTCTCTCTGATAAAGGTTGCAGTTTATTTATATTGATACACTTTCAATTGTTCAGATACATGTACATGTAATGTACATGTATGACCAAAGTTCTCCCATAGATTCACTGGCAGTAGGACTCCACCATGAAGGCACAAGTCGAACAAGCGTATTTTCCACACCCCGCACACAAAAGCACGCGCGAACACACACACACACAGAAACAAAACAATGAAGACGATTTCATCTTTATTGATCGTGATGCCATCAATGTATTTAATTTACAGGGGGATTGTTCTTGTGGAATCTGTTCCTCTCAATTAAAAATATCATCAGAAATAATTCAACACCGCAACCTTACAATTGCTCTCATTCAATTCATTCCAAGCATGTGTGCACAGAGAATTTTTTTCTTTTTTCTTTTTAACTTGTAAAAAATTATAGATTGTTAAAACAATTCTTCTGCTGATTGAACTGATTGAATTAAACATAAAATTATCCGTCCATCACCCACTTCTTACTCTTGTGGTGTTTCTTTATATCAAAAATTAAAAATCCAGACCTCACCAGAAACATCTTTTTCTTTCTTCCTCTCTTGATAAAAGTCTTAAGAGCACACTCACTGTATACACATGATACTTAACATTACATATGAAAATCCATGTATAACCCTGTTATAGCCCCCCCCCCCCCAACAACTGATCCATTCCCTTCAAATTTATCCTGAGAAAGCTTTGACTTTCAACATGCGACAAAGAAATGGGAACAAACACATTATGCAGATAGCTCAGCAGGCTGAGCATTCTCAGCAGGCTGAGCATTGACAAGTAAAAATTATACACATTGGGAACACTAGCACCCTCACCCTATCAACACACAAGCCTCACACTCACGTCCATATTTTGGGAGCATCCCGGAGGAGGAGCTATCACGATGGCGCCCTTGCCAACGATGGAGAGAAGACAATTCTCATGAAATTTTGGAGTTGTACTTTTACCGATACCAGCATCTTCTACTGGGTAATAACCAAAGCCAACACTAATGGGGGTCTGGTTCTGACAGACCCCAGCAGCACTTATCTTTGGTTACAGGCAGGTTAACTGCAGGGTTTCAGTTTCAGTGTCATCGGTTTTTAAATATCATTCAGACTCTGAGCCTTTACGCTAAAAATAATGTTGAGTTAGAGCTCCAGAACTAAGACAATCCGAATCGGGTATCGTTTCTAGCACTCCTCATTTTTTTATAGTTCCGTCATGATAGTCGAAAATCAAAGAAATTATAATATAATCCAAGCAATAGCTCCTCCACAGTGAAGCCCACAGTTTTTCTCACACACACACTCCTGCCCGCAAACACACAGACACCATATTCTCTCAACCACTACCACATACAATAATCTCATGCAAGCACACATTACTCCAAATGTACACACGTGATACAAACACACTCTCAGACAATTGTTAAGTCAGAAGATTTCAATATCAGGCCTCACCCGCTCAAATCACAAATTATAAACAAGCACAAAATAAATTAAAGTTTAAGAAACATATCACATCACATAGTCATCAAAAAGTGACCCCTTAAAAAGACATTATAGAAGTAAAAGTGCTTTAAATAGGCAATCAAGAAAAAAATATGTGCTGATCAAATAGAGAACTATAGAAATCAGGCTATTTCACAATTAATCGTTCTTATTTCAATTTAAAAAGAAAACCAGCAATGAACAAACCCCCTCCCCCCCCCCCCCCCCCCCCAAAAAAAAAACCCGGACAGAATCTTTACATGACCAAAAATGTTTAAAAACCAATACAATACACTTTTGAAGAAACTGTTTTCTATCTTTTTTAAAGATCATACAACAAAAACACCTAAAAATAACAAGGAAAGTTATAAGAAAATCTTTAAAAAGAATCCCACAACCATCTTCTGATTCCGAGTCGGTGGAGAGCAATATAATGAAAAGTACATATATGAATATATGTACACACTCAGGAGGTGGGGTCTCAAGCTGATGGACTAGAACTTTAGTTTAGCAGATTTCATGGACAGATTTTAAGCTCAAAATGATGAACAAAACTCGAGCTCAGAATGATGGACGAAAACTTGAGCTCAGAAAGATGGACAAAAGTTCAAAAAGAAGAACAAAAACTCAGGCTCAGAATGATGGACAAAAACTCAAAAATCAGAATGATGGAAATGGTGAACTTAAGCGCAGAATGAAGGCCAACAATAAAAGACAAGATGTAATGGTACATCGTGTACCCTCAGATTTGAAATAAAGATTCTTAGCTGCTGACAATTAATTAATAATACCAGACACATTTTTTGCGTGGGAAAATAAACACATTCTTAGCAAAGGCAATGCAATGCCATAGAGCAGTCTTTTTTACTTTTCGTACTGGTAACTTTTTGTGTGCTTTTCCTATCTCTAGAAATTGAGCATGGGCCCTCTGGCCTGTCAAAGTGGCACAGGGACACGACCTTAGATTGATGTGACACAAATAAAAACAGTCACTGGGTCATGATGACTCATAAAGCTGTAACTCTCAGAGGTCAGTTTAGTTTTAGTAAAAGTTTTACAGCACTTGCAATGACAACAATCATGTCAAAGACAATACAGGTTACAAATGAAAGCAACCATACAAAAATACTAATGTTATCAAATAAGGGAAAACTTTCTCATAGCATGCATTGCCAATTTGAGCAAGTTAGAACAACATCAACAAGCTCAGTTGAAAACAATAATTTGAATATATACCCCCAGGGAAAAGTGTGTTACCCTATTCTTCTCAGTTCACCCAGCTGCAAATGATTACCAGTACTTGGTATTTATTAGAAGTAATGGAAATGTTATGAGAAAGATGAAATATGTGCCTTACAGTCTGGTTATGCTGTATGTCCTCTGAGGGGGGAATGAGACAGAAAATTAGAGTGACTCAGTGAATTGGCGGGTCAAGGCAGATATTGTGAAGTCAGCTGAGCCCTCCGTCGAAAGTATATTATATACAACTGTACACAAAACTTCATACCGGTACATGCAATACAGTACCAAAAATACCAATCACCTCTTGTCCCCCATTCAGTTCAGCCAACAACCAAGTCCCTGCCAAATACAATTCAATACTCGAAAATGACTGTGCAAAGATGACAATAATGAACATGAAGTTTCATTCTCTCCATCCCGAGACAAGTGGTGTAAGGTAAACAATCCCAAGCTCTTGAGCAATTCTTTAAGGGACACCACACACCTCTAGTAATGACTTATTGCACAAGAAACACCATCACATTCACAGCTCCCACATTGCCACAAACGACACCAGCCCCTGGTGGTACATGTGCAAAAATCAAAGCACATGTCAGAAAATCTAAAATATATGAAAACAACCTGACCATCTGTTTAAAATCCTAGAATCTGGGTTACAGTACAGAGAGGAACAACACAATACTGACACCTCAACAGTCATTTAGTGCTGGCAGGTGGACAAAAATGACCTTACCGAAACAGTAACACAGAGGCATAACAAAGAAGTAGGGCCTACAAGAGGTGCTCTGCAGATACTGTGTTCAAAGACTGAAAACTTTTTATAGAAATCAGTCTCTAACATATCTCTCACAAATCCTCCCCCCCCCCTCCCCCGCCCCCCCCCCCCCCGAAAAAAAGAAGAAAAATCGGAGACTCCTAAAAAAACAACAATCAGACAATAGAAAGTCGAGTTGAACTGATAAAAATCCATACCCAAACATGTACATTTAGGGCCTACATACAATAAACGTTTAGGCCTCACTTCAAAAAAATTTTATAAAGTGGTAACAAAAAGAATAAATGACAAAAGTAGGCTATAGCAAAAAAAATTTCTACCCTTTTGTCAGAGACAATAAATACATCTCCTGCTTTGTAACCACATGACATGAGCTCCATCTTCTTTGAGAAGGAAAGAAGCGCAAACAAAGAGCACAAAAAGACTTTCAAATGACTATTAACCCCTTTGTGGCCAGCATGATGTACACCTTGCCAATAGTTCTTTGTTCAGAGCTTACTGAGGACAAAGTAAGTTTGCGCAGCAGTACACCTTACTTTTTGCCAATGTCGAAAACTCTCTGAAATCTTTGCAAACTCGAAAGCAAGATTACCTAGAGTCACGAAAGGGCTTTCATGAGACCAAAAGAACAAATAGCAAACTTAGTAGTAGTAATAGTAATAGATAGCATTTGTACAACAGTGTAAATCCTTGCTCAACAGCAAGCTCTAAGCACTTCACAATCTGTACTACACTGTATTACCCCAGCAGACCTGAGAGCATTCTGAAACAATCTCAACTTCCTGGAAAGCATATAGAGTGCAAGCTGCCATTTATAGGAGCTAAAACACTAACACACTGACAAAATCTTTTGCTGTCTATGGCCGGGTACTCAGGTGAAGTGAGGAAAATTCGTGTAAAGTGCCTTTCCCAAAGACACAACGTTGGGCCCACGACTCGAACCCCCGAACCCCACAATTATGAGCCCAGCAGCCTAATCACTAGTAGTATCATGTGCAATCACAAGTCTCCTTCATACACATTTGCCTACATGAAAAGAGCAGAACAATATCACAGCTTCGCTCAAAAATGCAAACCGTAAAACAAAACAAAGAGGAAAAAAACAACAACTCTCATTTACTTAGATATCTGTGGTCAGTGACCTTTCAGAAGAAAACAAAAATGATCCGTCATTCCCATTTCACTAACTGAGGAATTAACCTGGTTTCTCATTTTCACTTCTTGTGAACTCTCCTACTACATTATAATTGGCATCTAAACCAACATCTTCTTTTCTCAAGTTATTCGCCCCCATTATTTCTGTCCATTTTACTAATACTTTACAGCAAGTAGCATTTTCCAGCACACTTCAACATAAACAGGCCACATATATGTGCCACTAATTCATGACCTAAAAAGAAGAGTAATACAGTATCGGTACAAATATCCTTTGCAGCAAAGGAAGTGCCAATATGGAGGCAGCGTGGTGAAATCAGGCGCCCGTCAAAATAATTAAAGTGATGAAACAGGCATTTTTCTGCAGGTCGTGAATTTTCATTGAATTTTCGATTTTTGGCTCAACACCTTTCATGCCTATTAACACTATCCGTACATCCTGTTTTACTATCGTATCCATACGACGTGGGGAACTCTGTGCCACCACTTTCCAAAGAGAAAAATTTACTCGTTAATCCGATCCCTATGCTTTGAATAGCAGTCTGTCAAAATGATTTTTTGAGAAATACTGAAAGTTTCAAAGAAATCTTCGCACTACAAGTGTTCTAAAATGCGAAGAATACAACCCCTGGGGTACAAAATGACCCCAGGGCGTACGGAGAGGGATAAAGAACGCATTTCTGTTGTGAATTTTACTGAAAAACGTAGCTTTAAGGCACAAAAAATGTAAATTTTCAGTTTCCAAGGACTCTATCTAAAGCTAAGGAAATAACTCATCTTTGGCAGCCATTTTCTCACTAATTTGTCCTCTGAAACCAGGTGACCCCCACCTCCTTCATTCGAGAATATATCTCAAATTCTATTAAAGATAATGGAATATTTTTTTACCCAGAACAAGACAAATGAGCAAGCTTTAAGATCATACCAATAACTCTGCATGCCCGAAAATTGACGAGAACCTATTTCCACTGCGTCGCGACACATATTTTCGATCATATTTCCATGTGCTTGGAAATTCTAGCAGTCTAGCAGTGTTAAAAAAACTTGCGATAAACCATGAGAAGTCAAAATAGTTTCTGATGAAAGCAACAACGTATGCTCAGTGTAGATGAGGGAAGGGGAATAAAAAAAGATTCGTACAAAAGTAAAAAAAAACATACATGCTTGGTAAAATGTCATGTAAAAAGTAGTATGGTGGTGTTAAAATGTGGAAAGCAGTTTTGTGATTTTACAAATGGGACAAAAGGAGACTTTAATTCTTCACCTCCTCCTCTTAAAATCACAATATCTCGGGTCCATATACAGGCAACTTGCTTTAATAAGAAACAAACAGCCATTGGTTCTGGAAACTATGACATTGAAATTGATTTCATACAAGATTATACACTACTGTGGTTTAAACCCAAGATAGCTGATAACTTTGTTGTTTCAGTGGGGTGTAATGTTTTGCACACCTCACTCATTAACTTAAATCACAACCTACTATAGCTTGTTCACTTTCGTCTGTCCGTGTTTTAAAAAAACCCATCTAGCTCATTTATTAATTTATCTACGCTCAAGAAACTTTGCATGGCACTATTGCAGACCAGCGACCAAACAAAAATTATTTTTAAAAACATCTTGATCCAGTAATAAAAAAGTTGTTCTCTTTGGGCACTATATTACAAACCGCTTTTTAGACGCATACACATGATCACTAAAATAAATGACTTACAGTAATCTTGCCTGCAAGTTGCTCATTGTGAGACAGTAACATCACCCTGCTCCCATATTTCAGTTGTAGACACCCCCCCACCCCCAGCTGTCTAGACGTCTCCACATGCTCCACGCGAGTCTCGAAAATTACTCACCTCGCTCTTGAATCGTGTTTCTTAGGCATACGTTAAGTGTAATGTTGAGGAAAACATGTCAACTTTAAAATGTTATAGGTGTATGCCCTACTATTTTCTTTAGACCCACTTTAAGCTCACATCAAAGAAAACACGTTAGAACCTTAAGTTGCAGTGACCGTAGTGAATGGACTTTTCGATTCTGTTGGTCATCTAACTTTTAGACCCGTATGCAAAGATCTAAGAAGATTAAACAGATTTCATTGGATCGGTTTTTTTATCAGATGAAGTGAACAAGCTATAGAGACATGAATACCTCAACAAGATTGTCATTGCACCACAAGGTAAAAGTGTGGAAATTAGTCAGAGGTAAAGCACAGGCACAAATTTATATTTTTTTAGCAAGAATACAAACCTTTACACCGTAATATATCTAAAGTTTCAGTTTCCGTGAAATGACTTGATGTTTTTTTCCCACCATAAAATAGTTTTAAGCCAAGTAGCAAATAAAAAATTATTTCCCTCAACCTTTTTCCCTCATGAGTGAAACAGCAAACAAAAGTTAGAACATTCTGCAGACATGCACTCTGACATAATAATTAGTTCCCTTTCTCTTGCACTCTTTTCCACACGCACACAAAACATTCTGTGAGACTACAATGGTCACTTTTCATACATACAAATACGCGCGCGTTCATACACACACATCAAGGCTCACAAATCGATGCTGCTGAACTCTAACTGTGCAACTGGAAGAAACAGGTCAACTCATTTTTCATTCCATAGCGGAAGTTGTTCTGCGGGTCCTCAATAAAAATCTCTCCCCAGAACAAGGATAGACATTTATTATCACTTATTTCACCACAAACAAATCATTTTCAAGCATGAAGCAATTTTTTGGCTCAATGAATTTTTTCAAGAAACCTGATACACTATTAGAGCAAAACACCAAAGAAATGTGACAGGAACGTTGTGAGTGGTCAGAGAGTCCAGGTGATCCCAGAGGAATGTGTGGGAGATCAGTAAGGCTGGCACGAGACTCAACAACACACCCGTAAAACAACACCAACAGTTTCATCGGTTCAGTTTCCTGAAAAGTAGAAAAATAGAACACAACATATTAGCATGCCACCTATGTTCAAAATCTAACCTTGAACCACAGAAATCAACTCAGATTAAAAGATTGATTTTGAAATTTGTGAAGACATCCAGGCAGCATGCTACTAATTTGAACAGTAAAGTTGAGAAATTATGGGGCACCTGACTGTTTCCTGGTCTTCTTCTTTGCATTCCCCTTGTGCAACTGACTTTTATCAATGACCATTTTTTTCCTATTTCATAGAGCCTCTTGCTTTCTAGCAGCACATTCCGATTTCAAAGGTACTCTACAATATGTTTTTATGCTGACTATTGAGTATTTCAAGTCTTGGTAGGAATCAATTTTGAATTTGACCCAGGAGACAACCGAAGCCTACTCTAATCAAATTAAGGACCACAAAGGGATCTTTAACGTGCGCAACTTGCACAAGGGACAATGTGACTACTCAGACCAATACATGCCAGTTACACAAGGAATGAGTAAGGAAAGCATCATTGGTCTTTTTGAGGAGAGATGAATATGAGACATGTCAAATCTAGCCAAAACCAGCCAAACTAAGCCATCGTCTAGACACCAAGATCAAACATTAACAACAACAATCCCCCCCCCCCTCCCCGCAAGTGGCACTTGGCAAGAATTCAGTAATTTAACTAGTAATTGATGCCCCTCTAAAGCTGTGTATTCATTCACTTTCGCCCATTGCACACTTATCTCAACTCCGCTAAAGGCCATTTTGAAAAAATGACAAACGACAGAGTCTTACACTGAACAGTCAAATCTGAATGGAGCCGCACATCACCAGCATTATATTCCAACCATGTGACTGGAATAAAAAAAGTGCGTTTTCTTCTTTTCTATTCCTTACACTAAAACTATTGCCGAGGTCGATCTGCTAGAGATTTATAAAAATATTAGGAATCAACAAGCACCATAAGCAACATAAATTAAATGACATTTTAAAAAAAGGACAGTCAGCAAAGTTTTGTGCCTTCTCTAAACATTTAAATCAGATTAACTTTTTTTAGCATGCTGAAAAATATTCAAGAAACCAGATACATACACGGATAAAACTTACTTCATCCATCCATATAGGCTATATTCTTTATCAGAAGACCTGAAAATATGACAACACAAGTACCCAACCTCTCACCTCTTCCGCCTGCTGATGTAACTGATGACACAATGGACGACCAAAGGCCACACGAAGATCACCATGGCCGACTTGACCGACAGATCAGGGAACGGCCACCAGCCCTACAAAGAAAACACCAAAACCAAATGTAACGACAACTTTGTTTCGCTGAAAATGACAAATGATGAATAACATTTCAAGTTGAGAATCAAGTTGAAGCAGTTAAGTCATGCAAAATAGTACCTATCAAAATAAAATAAATTGGGTTTGAGTGAAGGAAAGCACAACAATACAAAAACAATTATTGAGTGCTGGAAAAAAGCAAGTCGGACAGAGATAAATAGCAGGGACAGAGTAGAATTAGAACCTTCCAATGGCACCCTCCAACTGCCCCCTGAGAATCACAAAATAAGTGACATCTCAAACAGAGAAAAAAGCCTATGCAAGACAATCTAGAAAGACAGTACTCATTAAAATTATCTTCATTTCAATTTATTATCAAAATATAATAAATATATATTGCTTAACAAAAAGACTAACTACAAACTTTTTTCCCAATTTTGAGACTCACCCCCCCCCCCCCCCCCCCCTTCCAATGCATAAATGTAGAATTGCCTTTTTTTTAAAGTTTATCCTGACCAAGGTTGAGAAGGTTTGAGAGCCTTTTATTCAGTTTTAATAAGAGTTTTACGACACTTGCAACACAATAAGGTCATATAAGTGACAAAGAATAGATTATGCGTTACAAGAGAGTAACATACACAAAAAAGAAGGGGAGATAAGGACGACAGATGTTTGATAGTTTGATTTTTTTTGCTTTAGTAGACGTTCTACAGCGCTCGCAACTGCATAAGGTCATATGAGCGCCAAGGGGTGGATGTCAACAAAGAAGTCCTTACAAGGAATCAGGCCTACTCAGCTCATCTCTCTAGTTTCAACAGCACAAAGTCTGCTTCGACTATCAAGCCACTCCGGAAATAGCGGGTCACAAGAGTGTGACAAACATACAAAAGAAGTTTTACAATTACAATTCTACTGTGCATAAGAACATGGTTAATTTCCCACTTTTGCCGCTTCAGTCGGTAGCAAACCACACCATTTCTCTTCTTCTTTTTTGTTTTATTTTAGTAAGAGTTTTATGACACTTGCAAAACAATATGGTCAAATAAGTGCCGAAGATTAGAGGTGTGACAAGAGAGTAACAAACACAAAAAAGAAGGAGGGGAGATAGAGACGATAGATTTTTTTATACAAAAGAAGGAGCAAACCACACCAGAGCACCCGCAACCACCCACTTGAGAGCCTTTCAGAACATTCTACCATACAGTACAGCATATGAGAAGAAAGTGCTTACAGAGTAGACAACATGATGAGACCTACCTTTGATACTCTGTTTTTTCTTTCTTTTTCCTACAAGAGAAAAACAAAGAATGGTTCATTATAAAACTCATGAGTCAACATTTCTTTAAAAAGCACTCACAGAGTGGTAAATTACTCTTTTCTTCAGCACCAATCACCAAAATTAACCAAAGACCCAGAAGTACAGGCCAACAAATAACAGCACAACAACAATGACCCATAACACAACAACAACAACAACAACAACGACAATACCTCACAGCTCATCCCCACTTGCCAAAACAACACTGACAAAAACCAACAGCAACAATTATACAACAAAATTTGGTTTTTAAATACCCATTAACCAGCAACCACAGCTAACAATGTATATCTTCTTCCCTAAGCTACAATTACAAGAACAACCCAAATTTGAACGACGACAACAACAACAACAACCCAACATCAAACAACAACACCCAAGGACCACAAATAACATCTTGCAGTGTATATGTCCTTCCATAAAAGCAACAATAGACATATATAAAAATTCCATGACCCAGAGACAAAAACAACTACAGAGATGCCAGCCACAGAAAACCGAAATGAGTATTGGGAAATATGAAAATGTGTATTTTCAGGGGAAAATGTGTATTCCCCACGACTGACCGACCAACTAGTAAAATGTTCAGGGCGTCCAGCAATATTTCCTGAAAAAAAATTACAAGCTCACCAGCTCGAAAAAGGGAGCACACACGCGTACAATATACATATATCCAGTCAACACATGTTAGCGTTCAGTGTCGTACTGGGGACTTGTTTGACTTAAGTATTTCAGTCTATTATAATATTTTCGTCTCATTATTATATTAAAAAATTAATCCTGCTTTGAGCGTTCGGAAGGGCCTAGAATAAGAATTTCGACTATCAAGAACCAGTCTGGGAGTCATGGTTTATGTTATGAACTGACAGACTAAAATTATTGCTCAAACTCAGAGAAGAGTCATAACTTGAATGGCTCAAGTAGACCCATGCACTGTGAGAGTTGTAACAACTGTGGGAGGGCAAGATGTAGTGACACTGAAAATCTGCCAGTCTTGAACAGAAAGCTACAACATACAATGTACAATGTAGGTATAATTTACTACCACCCATCCAATGAAACACGAACGCTTTATTTCAATAACACAGACTTGCAAAGTATGAAGGGTCCCGATTCCGCACACGTCCTGCACCAACGCGCGCTTTGCAGAGAGCTCTAATCAAAATACTGAAATTGCTTCTAAGTTTTTGTCCTCTGGTGTTGCCTTCACACACCCCCCCTCCTCCCAAGTATATCTTTTTTTTAAAAATCAATAATCCCCTCACCTATTCCGTAGTCCTATACTTCACCACACCGGTTACTCCCCCCAAAGACGGTCTTTGCTCACACGATGCCCTATTTTTATGATGCGAATGCACGCAGGGTCACTGACCGGTCACGATGGCGAACCAGATAATCTAAAAATCGGACGACGCTTGTATTTTCTTCTCTTTTTTTCCCACAAGTGACAGCACAGAGACGAGTCGGAGTATTGATTAAATTTTATTTGCACGGCGACACAGCATTTATTATTTATACTGCCCAACCTGCATGTCAGTGGTCACAAATGTTGCATTACCAGACTACCGCTGGCAAACTTTTGGGTGATAACGAAAGCGAAAGTAGATCTCGATTTTCCCGCTCGAGCCTCGGTGTCACATACACTTCCACCATAGCCGCCTGTTGGCGTGAAAGTGAATCGTACTCTCAGACAGGGAAAAGCTGAACGAATATATAATATCACAATCGCGACCGGCAAAATTGAACTTACTGACCTTATAGGACTTGGTTTTCAAATATTCCAGTTCCGTGATACTGAAACTATTTTATCAAAAGATGGGACTTGGGAAATTATTAGGATTACTCGCCCCAGCTGAATCTCTTGTTTTTCGCATTCCAGAATGCATATTTTTCGTGAAAAGTCGTATTCACGTATTTTCGGCAAAAAATCGTACTAAAATACGTAAAATCGTACTGGTTGGAATCTCTGCAACTACAACAACACCTCACAGCATTTCTCTTCTTCCCTAAGAAGAAGTCAAAAACAATAAGTCACGACTGAACAACAAAAACAACAACAACAGCCCATAATCCAAAACAACAACAACAACACTTCACAGCATATCCCAACTTAGTTAATTAAAGCAACAATTACAGCAACAATCATAATCATAATTGCCTTTCTCACCCTAGATCAGGGTACAGGCCACGCACAAAATATTTCCACCTTTCCCTATCCTGGGCCAGCCTCTTGGTGTTATTCCATGTCTTCCCGCTTTTCTGTACATCGATCTCTGTGACTCTTCTCCAGGTTCCAAGGGGTACAATAACAATAACAGGCCACAAACAACAACAACAACACCCACAAATCAGAAACAACAATAACTCCACCAACAACTCACAGCGCGTCCTTCCTTGACCAAGGCCTCCAAGCTGTTGAGCCGGTTCAACACACCGCTCATGTCGTGTTGCAGCCTGAGCAGTGTCACCACAATCTGCTCGTTGAGGTCACCCGCTGCGTGGTCCCCACCTCTCCCCGAGCCACGGTTCCCCCCACCTCCCCCGCCGGGCCCGGGAAACAGACCCCGGCGGCTACCACTGCCACTACCGCCAGCACCCCCGCCCTGCGGGCTGTCTGGGTCACCTGGGAACAGATGAGTCAGGAACATGAAGAGAGAGAGAGAGAGAGAGAGAGAGAGAGAGAGAGAGAGAGAGAGAGAGAGAGAGAGGGAGAGAGAGAGAGAGAGAGAGAGAGAGAGAGAGAGAGAGAGAGAGAAAGAGAGGGAGGGAGGGAGAGAGAGAGAGAGAGAGAGAGAGAGAGAGAGAGAGAGAGAGAGAGAGAGAGAGAGAGAGAGAGAGAGAGAGAGAGAGAGAGAGAGAGGGGGAGGGAGGGAGAGAGAGAGGTAGGGAGAGAGAGAGAGAGAGAGAGAGAGAGAGGGGGGGGGGGGGACACAAGAAAAAAATTATGGTTGCTGAATCGGTAAAGTAAAGGCAGTAGATCTTCACTTAGCTAAGAGAGAAATAAGTGGTAAAAGGCACTTTCAATTAACTTCTTCAAAGTTCTTTAAAAATAATAATTTGAGTAATTATATTGATCTTTTCTCTAAGGAGTAAGAAAAATCAAATAAAGCTGTACCTTGCAGAAGTTTCAGTAAACATTTGCTAGTACAAGCTTCTCATTAGATCCAATCATGTAAATGTGACGGATCTCACAAATGCTCACCATATCCTCCCATATGAAATGGTCAACCATTGCCTTTGGTTTAGCTTTTAAGTAAAAATTTTAAAGCACTTGCAATACTATAAGGTCATATAAACGCTGAAGATCAGAGGTCTAACAAGAGAGTAACAAACCCTAAAAAGGAGGAAAGATAAAGACAACAGATGTTTGATAGGAAAGAAGGAGCAAACCACACCAGAGCACCCACCAACCACCCACCCCTTTGGTTTACTTTCATTACAGAGAAGTGCATATTTGCATAATGACATCTATTTATTGAGGACAAAGAGCAAACACAGAGAACAAAAAATTGCCATGCTATTATTAGACCAGAAACAATAAAGCTTTTACTATGCAACTGACATCTGAATCCCAGAAGAAAACCCCCCCCCAGAAAAAAGCGGAATCTCTATAGCACCCACCCAGACCATCGTAGACTTTCAGAACTTGAAAGGACACTATTCGAAAAAATATCTTAAAATTCCTTTAGACTTACCATCTCCTCCGTGACCTCCTGAACCGCCAGCGGACCCGCCCTTTGACCCCTGACCCCGTTTCCTTCTATCCCGGTCCTCCTCTTCTCCCCGACAAGTGGTGATGTCCAGCCGGCTGGCCTCCTGGCTTTCTGTCAAAAAGGAGTGACCGGCCAGCGAAAGGTTCAACTCGGATCTGTCACCACTCTCCTCTGGAGGATGCACGAGCAGACTATCCGAGAGATCCCCAGTGCCACCAGGGCTGAAGCTATCTGTGCTGGGCTGGGGAGGGAAGAAAACTGATAACACGAAGCTGGGGGATAGTGGCAGAGACCCTCAGAACATACAACATATGTCTCAGTCTCATTCAGACCACTCCCCTCATTGCAGACAGACGGCTGTCTGTATGTCCCCACTTTTACCGCTATCAGCAGAAGGGAACATCATCATCATCATCATCCAGTGCCAGATCTGCGACAGACATCGGCGATCATGATTTTCCATTCATTCCTTTGCTCGGATGCACTCAGAAAAGCTACGTTTCCCTGGTTTTTCCCTGTTACTAATTTGTTTAGGTTCCCTAAGTATGTAGTTCTGGGCCTACCCCTGCCTCGCTTGCCCTCAATTTTGCCAGTGAGAGCTAGATGTTCAAGACCCTTATGTCTATTCAGGTGTCCCAAAAACTGCATTTGTCGTTTCCTGCTTGTTTTTAACATTGAACGTCCCACGTGGGATTCATCAAGCACTACCTCATTTGATTTCTTTTCCTTCCACGTTACTCTTAGCAGTCTCCTAAGAAACCACATTTCTGTTGCCTCTATTTTATTTTCACTGTGTTTAGTGATTGTCCAGCATTCACAGCCATATACAAAGGTTGACCAAACATAACATTTCAGGACTTTCATTTTGGTGTTCATTGATATGTTTCTCTTTTTCAGGATTGGGCTCATTTTATTGAAACTAGCCTTAGCCATTGCAGTTCTCCTTTTTATTTCTGCGGAGGATTTGGCATCAGATGTTATCATATATCCTAAATATTTAAACTGTTGAACTTGTTTGATCTTTTCACCTTTGCTAATGAGATTACAACTAGGATTTGCTGCTTTTTTGGATATTACCATGCATTCTGTTTTCTTTACATTCAACAATAATCCTTTATGTTCACTTTCTTTTACAACAGTATCTAGAAGCATTTGAAGGTCCTTTTCGGAGCCTACTATTAAAACCGTGTCATCAGCATACCTAATGTTATTAATATTTTTCTCCATTAAATTTGAGGCCTAGACATTCTTCTATGTTTCTAAGGATTGTTTCACTGTACATGTTAAAGAGGTCTGGTGACATAACACATCCTTGCCTCACTCCTCGCCTAATCTGCTTATATTCACTGTATTCTCCATTAATTCGTACAGCAGCGTTTTGGTCCCAGTACAAATTTCTGATAATTCTTACATCTTTTCCATCTATGTCTAGCTTTTCCAGTATTTTAAATAGCTCATCATGTCTAACTTTATTGAACGCCTTTGAATAATCTATGAAGCATAAATACAGATCTTTCTGTGCTTCAAAACATCTTTCCATTAACATTTGTAAAGTGAATATAGCATTTCTGGTGCCCTTGTCAGGAACAAAGCCGAATTGCGTTTTAGATATCTCTGGTCTTACACTTTTTCTCAATCTTCCCATTATTACTCGCAACAATATTTTTGTAAAATGACTCAAAGGCTAATTGTTCTATGCATATATCACACTCAGTGGCACCTGGTGTTTTAGGTAAAGCTATAAAAACTGACGTCATCATATCTTCTGGGATCTCACCGCTGTCATAAATAGCATTTAGGAGCTTTGTTGTTATTTCAGTGCCTAGTTCTTCGAGCGCGACAATCACTTCAACTGGAATATTATCTGGCCCTGTGGCTTTTCCTTGTTTCATTTTCCTAATGGCAGCTTGTACTTCTGCTTTCAGTATTGGAGGTCCATTTATTTCATTCTTTATTACCGGTTTTTCTCCTCTATTATCTTTGAAAAGTTCTTCTATGTATTAGAAGGGAACTGTAAAAGTAAAAGTAAGGGTGGTGGTTGGGACTTTTCAACACAGATAGTTATCATTGCGCTTCTCACCCTGGATCAGGGTATAGGCCCACGAACAAACATTTTTCACCTTTCCCTATCCTAGGATAGCCTCTAGATGTTATTCCATGTCCTCTCACTTTTCTGTCCATCAGTTTCTGCGACTCTTCTCCAGGTTCCACATGGTCTTCGCCATGATCTTTTACTTTGCGGACTCCATTCCAACACTTTCCTTGTTATATAGCTGTCCGACTTCCTTTCGGTGCAGAACTATGGCCAAAAGCAAAGTAAAACAGACTCAACAGCCTGCTGTTTCCTGTCCCTGTAAGACACATAAGCATCCCCACAGCAACCCCCACGGTGACCCCAGACATTGCTCTCTACGTCAAGCAGTTCAAAACATTTATTCACTACTCTGTTCACCCAGTTCTTTGCTCCATGAGAAAAATTAGCTAGCATGGACCTGGTTGCTATGCAACTGACATCACAGATGTACACTTACTGTAGCAGAGCCAAAGTGCACCGTCTTGCTGCTGCTGAGAGGTGTGGAGGAAGACGCAGACTCTGACAGTGGAGGGAGATGGGATGTGAGGGACTGGACCATTGACCTCGTTATGATCTGACCAAGGGGGAAAAAAGCAGGGACGAAAACCATCAACTTGAGTCAACATTTGTGAAGCGTGCTGACAAAATACGTTACTACTCGGATTTCAGCCCAATGGAAATAGATAGACTACGTTTATAGGTGAAGTTTTTACAATTTATAAGTAGGAAATAATAAAAGGCAGGTTATGCTTAAAGAATATGGTATCAAATGAAAATCTACAAATTTGACGTGAGTGTCAATTTTTGGCAAATATCTCCATTTGCCAATTGCGAGAAGTAACTCATTTAGTCTGTACCCCTCACATTTGTACATAAGCATCTTTCTCCCACAAGGGTTGAGAAAAAACGCACTGATTTTTAAGTCGTGATCTCATTTACATTTTCAGTGAAGCAAGCGTGTCGGGAGGTGGTGTCCACGGTCAAAAGTAACTTTTACTGCCATGGAGGGCAAAAGAATCTCAACATTAGAAGGCTGCTAAATGCACAGTTAAGAGAACAAACGAACACCCGTTGAAAATAATGAATGAGAACAGGAAGGAGTTTAGGAACAAAATTAGCCTTTTATGAGAGTAACATAGGCTCTCTCTCCACAGCTAAGCTGGTGCGATAAGTCTGGTCGAAGCAATTTTAGGGTGGTATCAATTCACCTGATCAAAATTCTAATTCAAAAGCATCGGCAGTATCAATTCAAGTAATCAAAATTCGAATTCAAAATCAGCCTCCCATTTCACATGGTGACATCAGGATCACGGGATCAAGCTACAAAACAAACCAAAATAAAATTGTGAAATCTTTTAGATTCACAAACCAAACAAGAAAAGCATACCTCAATGGGTTCATCCGACGTATCACAGAATTCTTCATTCTCCGTTTCACTGTCGCTTATGGACGCTGAGTGACTGTGTGATGTTTTACCTTCCTCCTCTTCCTCGTCTTCTTCAGCTTCATCATCTCCTTCTTCCTCTGTCTCTCCATCCTTCCTCAGCGTAGAAGTGTTGTGGACTAAATATTTTTCCATGCGATCTGTCTCAGCTTCAGGACTATCATGGTCATCTGAATCGTGATTTCCATTCAAACCTGACCCATGACAGAACAAAAAAGATGCTCAAGAAGCCAGTTATGACTAGTGCCCATATTTGCAATCTTTTTTTGACTAAACGCATTCATGACGAAGCTGAAAGCAAGATCTAGAGGCAGATCTCAGGCATATGGGAGGGACACAGCTGGCTGGGTTTGGAGAAAATTGACCAAAGTAAAGACGGGGGGAGAGCCCTTCTTGACAGTCTATACCAAATAGCAGGGTGCAAGAGGTGAATGGTGTACTCATGACGAAGCTGGCTGGAAAATGACACAAGCCTTCTTTTTTTTCCCTTATACACTATTTATAGATATAGATATCTTTCCCTAGAGTGACAGAAAACATAACACTTCTTAAAAAAGGAGCAATGAGTAAACCACACCGGAATGCCTGCCAACCACTCACATGAATACTTTTCTCAAGCTCAGGAAAATCTTAATGATACCTTCTTTATCTTTTATCAAGAACTAGAATCCACAATTTTTCAATTGCTACCATTATTTTGTTAGAACATTTCAAAACAAGAAAACAAACTAAGAAGGAATATTCACTTCCATGTTGAACTTGTTCCCAAAATTTGCAAAATTTACCACTGTCTTAAATCTATTTCTTACCCCTTTTATCTCATCTCTTCTCTTTCAGTCAGCCTCACCTTCCATCTCTCCCCAACCCATCATAGGTCCGTCCCCCACTAAGGATTCTAAGGCATTGGTACAGAAGGAGTGTTTTAAAAAACAAAACTAATGCTAGAATGTAATTACAGTTAAACCTTTCAAAAAAGCCCATTAACCATCGGCAAAAAAGTGATCATCCTAGCCAGCTTGTCTTCTGGGATAGCATATTTATAACAAAGAAAAATCACAAAGGGAGAAAGGTGGGAACTGGTCTTTTCTACAGGTGGTTGTCATGAACACAAACATTTTTAAACATAATTTTCAGAAAGCAAAATGGCTTCGAGGTGTAGTCAACACCATGTTAAAGTAACCACCCTGCCAGTCTCAATTGAGACCTGGTTAATCTATAAAAATTGTTGAAAACATCATTACGACAATAAAATAAGTGGACATACGCATGACGGGTCTATAATTTTTACATTTATATTTTAAAGGGAGAAATTGTGGAAGAAAAACAAAAAGGGGGGCGTTTGCCTCATACGAAAGAGAACCACATTGAAGCAATATGCACCCTTTTAAATATATTCAGAATTACGTACTAATGCAAGGGACGACATGCTAGTTCGTAGGCCGTCTCTTCCATCGCTTGTATGCTCACATTGTTAAGTCACGTACTAACGCAAGTCAAGAATCAACCCTTTAGAGTTCTATTTTAATTTACCTCACTATTAATCTACATGATTGCTACATAGAATTTAAAATTTTCATGACCATTACACATAAACTTTCTCTCTCTATCTCTCTCTTTCCTTCTTTTATTTTCCTTCTGTCTCTGCCTCCCTCGTCTCTCTCTCCCTTCCCCTCTTCCCCGCCTTCCTCTCTCTCTCTTTCTCCCTCTCTCGCAAACTTGCAAAGTGACGCACATAAATCATAAACTTGCTCCTGGTCTATGTTGTTGGGTATTTTTTGATTCAACCAATTTTCTTTCAAAGTCGCAAGGCTTTTCATATTACTTATTCATTCATTTGTGAAACTCAAGAACCAGTAAGTACTGGTAAAATGCCTCACCATGCTTTTTCCTTTTGAAATAAAATAACGTAACTGTAACTTTATGGTTTGTTTTGTTGTCACGAACTATCATAAGTGCCATATTGTGTAGTGTAAGTGACTACACCGCTACATACTTTGCATTCACGTACAAACGTAAGTGACAAAAATGGCCATTTTTCACTAGATAAATCGATTTTCCGAGGCAGTGACAGAAAATATGGCATAAAGTCTATATACAAACCAAAAAAATCAATAAGATATCATGTTCCTTTCAGTCACAACAGGATTTGAAAAATGGCGCAAAAACTTAAAGCACCGTAGCTCGAAACCCCATTTCTGTCGGTTACGATAGTACGTGATTCGGGGAACGAATTGTCGATGTCCAATTCAGATCTGGGACTTGACGAAGAACTAGTATTCCTCATAGGGAGATAATTTCAGAAAAATGTTAAAACCCCCAACTTCATTAAAGACGCGGCAAGCAACAGTCTGCCCCTCCGTCCTACCATTGGCTCTGATGATTCCTGTACTCTCCGTCACGCGCTTCATGTCCTGCTTCAACAGCTGTGTCACATTAAGAGAGTAATCTCCCTTGTCCGCGTCTTCCTCTGCTGGGAAAAAAAAAATACCACTTAAAATAAGTATGTGGAATATTCCGTCCAGGGTTCATTAAACAAAACAAAAAGTAGTTCAAGTAAAGTTTGACTCGCTGCTCAAACTTCTTGACCTTACACGCATCATATGACTTACCGTAGGCATCACAGTGGGGTAGCAGTTATGTCATATTATACAACAACACGGAACAGCTCACTGTGAGCCTCAGCAAACAGCAGTGTCATGAGTATAAGTGGGAATTGCCGAAATCATTCTGCCCTGGGCCTTACTTTCCCCAAGACATGCACATACATAGCATTCTGATGAGGTCTGAGCTTTGAGGCCAGTGGTCTTAAAATTCCTGAACTGTACACCAATCCAATACCGAACCATACCCTGTGTTTACTATGTCAACAATTTTTTTTTTTTATATTACAAAAACCTTTGAATTCCTGAATAAAATTACCCATGGTGTGTCAATTCTTGTGTTAACAAAGGGGTCAACAGTTCCAAAATGTAAAGAAAAAAAACAACTCTTTAATATAAAAAAAAAATATTGACACAATACGATACCCTGAGTTTACTATAGTGTCAACAATACCAGACACCAAAGTTTTTAATTTAACCTCAAATTCCAGAACAAAATACCAACATCCAACCTTATCACATGTTTACGAATGTGTAAAAAATTTTAAAATTTAAAATATATATGTTTTTTAAAAAGCCATAACTTCCTGAATATAATACCAATACCCAATCACACCTTGTGTTTATTAACCCCATCCGTACGCCTGAGGTCATTTTGTACCCCAGGGGTAGTATTTTTCACATTTTAGAATACTTCTACAGCGACGATCTCTTTGAAACCTTCAGTATTTCTCAAAAATCATTTTGACAGACTGCTATGCAAAGCGTACGGACCGGATTAACGAGTAAATTTCCTCTTTGGAAAGTGGGGGCACAGAGTTCCCCACGTCGTATGGATATGATAGTAAAACATGACGTACAGATAGGGTTAAGGAGACAAAGGTCTTATTTTCCTTTTTTTTACCTTCAAATTCCTTTAAAAAAAAAAAAAATTTTAAAAATTACCATCACCATATTATTATATTATACCCTGTGACTATTAAGGGTCAACAATTCTACAAATACATGTTAAAAACAAAACCGTAAATTCCTAAATAAATAACATTATTGCACCACACCTTGTGTCTACTCATTTGTTCCAAACCAAACCATACCTTGTGCCAATTAATACGTCAACAAGTCCACTAAATATATATATCTTTAAACAAAACAATGCAAAAGAAATTTTTTTAATACCAAAATTTAAGACACCACTGGCTGTTTTGACACTCCCATAATTTGGAACGGGCCGTCCAGTACACAGGTGGTGTTGTGGTCTCAGTGTTTACTGACACAAAAACAATTCAATCCCCCCCCCCCACCCCCCCTAATTTCGAGAATGAAACACCAATAACATACATTGTTTTTACGACGGCTTCAACAATCCCATCCCCCAACCTCCCCATTTTCTGAATAAAATAACAAAACCATATCTTGTATAAATGACAATGTCAACAATTCCGAAAATAAACGTTAAAGTAACAGAAACATTTTTAACCAATGTTAAAGAAAGAAAAGAAATACAAGACCTGATCCAGAGACGCCGTTGGCTGTTGCGACGTTCCCGTTTGCCGGCACAGACTTGTCGAGCACAGTGAGGGTGTTGTGGTTCTCGCTGTCCTCAACCATCTCATAGAAGTAATCCAGCTTCTGAAGGAACTCCGTCACCGCCTCCGTCTGAGGCATCGTCTCCACAATCTAAAGTGACGAGACCCAAGGAAAAAAAAGTGTTTCAAAAGACAAATACAGTCAAACCTGTCCTAGACAACCACCTAAACCTGTCCAAGACAACAACCAGTGATCGAGGAGAATAGTGGTCATCTTAGGCAGACTGTCCTTTTGGACAGTATCGCTATAACATGGTGGGTGGGGGGAGTGGGAAAAGGTCATTAGTACAAGTGCTGGTATTGGACTGGTGGTCGTTGAAGCAGGTTCGACTGTATATCAACGTATCCAGAGTTCCTTTATGCGCCACAACATCTAAACTGATTTCTTTAAATTTTTCAACAGGAGGGAAAAAAAACCCCCCAACAAACCAAACCAAAAACAAACCCCACACACCTGCCAACTACTCCAAAACCAAAAAGTCCTCCCCAAAAAAGTGGGAGTTTAGGGAGAAAAAAAATCTCCAGAACCCCAGTAGATTAAGATTACAAAATGAACCATTGTCGGCAAATAAATGTACGAGTAAATACGCACCCATAAACACAAATAAAAAAACGTGTATTTTCCCCGTCATTTATGATAAGTCGGCAAAATAGGGCAAATAGGCAAAATAAAAATGTGTTCTTTTACAACGAGTCACATACGATCTGGTGGAAACAGAATTCACTCTATCCCAAGTCACACAATCACACAGTGACCAAATACACACACT